TAGCTATGGTGATCACCGGCGTCCTTTCCGTCGGGTTTACGTTGAAAGGGAGCCAGGGCGGTTGCTAGGGGTTATATACGACTTAGGGGTTTAGATCCTGGTCGTTGGATCGGGTGAGATTGATGGCCATGATCTATTCATAGGAGGGGGACAACGTCGTTTGGACGTAGTGGTGGGTGAGACCGGGTGTGGGAATGGATCGGGTCAGGTTAATGGGTCTAGGGGAGGGCCTAGATCCGTTGGATCAATGGAGTTGGACGGCTCAGATTAACATGCCTAAAACTGCGTCGTTGAGGTTAATGAGTGGCCTGATCGGGACCGTTCATTTGAATCAAATCAACGGCTCAAGACGGGGACGCTGATACGGCGTCGTTTGAGACCATGCCTGGGCAGCCTGGGTTTCGACTGGATCGATGTGGTTGGTTTGGGCCTGAAAGTTTTGGTTCCACCTGGCCCAAACCAGGTTTCCTTGATATTTTACCCATTTTCCTTCTTTTTTTTTAATTACCAAAATTAAACAAAAATCCTAAATAAATTGTAGAATCAACAATAAAATTACATACATATTATTTGACACCCATAATAATTAACACACAATTTAACATTAAATAAAATCACACAATGACAAGAAACACACATGCATATTTTTGTGATTTTCTTTTAACCAAATTATGGTTAATTATTTCCTAAATGTGCCATTAATTCCTAAATGCATGCCCCCGTGTATTTTTGTGTTTTCAACTATAGTAAGGTGATCATCTATGGACAGAACAATTATCAAAATGTCACCCAAATTCTCAAAATTGTACCCGAAGGTAACTTGCTTTATTTTCGATTTCTTTTGGAGTAGTTTCCATGAATCAAAAATCACGTGCTCATAGCAAGTATGAGTGCTCCTCCCATTATTACTTTGTGAACCATGTACGGACCTTGCCAGTTGGGAGAGAATTTCCTTTTGGCTTCATCTTGATGCGGGAAGATTTTCTTCAATATCAGCTGCCCTGGTGTGAACTGTCTTGGTTTGACTCTTTTGTTGAAAGCTCTAGACATTCTATTCTGATAAAGTTGGACATGACACACCGTGTTCATCCTCTTTCCATCGATAAGGGCCAATTGTTCATAGCGACTCCTTATCCACTCTGCATCGCTGAGTTCAGCTTCATGTATGACTCTTAAAGAAGGAATCTCCACCTCGGCTGGGATGACAGCCTTGGTAACATAAACCAACGTGTAAGGAGTTGCCCCGGTCGATGTGTGAACCTTGGTGTGGTACCCTAACAGAGCAAAGGGTAACTTCCCATTCCATTGTTTGTGGTTCTCTACCATTTTCCTTAGTATCTTCTTAATGTTTTTGTTGGTGGCTTCTATGGCTCCATTCATCTGAGGTCTGTAGGCTGTGGAATTCTTATGCTTGATTTTGAAAGCTTCACATATAGCTTTGATCAGATCACTGTTGAGATTGGCGGCGTTATCCCTAATATTGGACTCGAGAACTCCGAATTGGCAGATAATACGATCCTTGACAAAATCTACGATGACTTTCTTGGTTACAGCTTTGTAAGATGTAGCTTCTACCCATTTTGTGAAGTAATCAATGGCTACCAGAATAAACCTGTGTCCATTTGAAGCAGTGGGCTTAATTGGACCAATAATATCCATTCCCTAGGCGGCTAATAGCCATGGTGAGCTTGTTGCATTGAGCTTATTTGGCGGCACTTTTATCATGTCGGCATGCACTTGACATTGAAAGCATTTGCGGACATACTAAATGCAATCTGTCTCCATGGTCATCCAAAAGTAACTTGCCTTGAGTATATTCTTAGCCAAGATGAAACCATTCATGTGCGGACCACAGGTCCTAGCATGCACATCCTCAAGTAGCATAGAAGCTTCCTTTGCATCGACACATCTTAGTAAACCCAGATCAGGAGTTCTTCTATACAAGTTTCCTCCGCTGTGGAAGAAGTGATTTGACAATCTCCGAAGCGTGCGTTTCTGAGTGTGATTTGCATGCTCCGGATATTCTCCTTTTGACAAATACTCCTTGATATCATGGAATCAAGGCTTTCCATCTGCTTCTTCCTTGACATGAGCACAATATACCGGCTTATTATGGATCCTCACCGGAATAGGATCAATGTAGTTCTTATCTAGATGTTGTATCATGGATGACAAAGTGGCCAATGCATAAGCAAACACATTTTGAATTTTGGGTACATGCCGGAATTCTATCTTTGTAAACCTCTTTCTCAATTCCTACACATAGTGTAGATATGACAATATCTTGGAATTCTTGGTGGCCCCCTCTCCTTGTACCTGGTGCACAAGCAAATCTGAATCACCGATCACTAGCAACTCTTGAACGTTCATGTCAACTACCATGTTGAGCCCTAGTATGCAGGATTCATATTTCGTCATGTTGTTGGTGCAAGGAAATCTGAGTTTAGCAGATACCGGATAGTGTTGGCCCATTTCTGATACCAAAACTGCTCCAATGCCCACTCCTTTGAAATTTGCGGCTCCGTCAAAGAACATACTCCAACCATCATATGTTTCGGTAATATCTTCTCCTACAAATGATACTTCTTCATCGGGAAAATATATTTTCAAGGGTTCGTATTCCCCTCCTATCGGATTTTCAGCAAGGTGATCTGCCAATGCTTGTCCCTTGACCGCCTTTTGAGTTACATAGACGATATCGAACTCACTTAGTAGTATCTGCCACTTAGCCAACTTCCCGGTCGGCATGGGTTTCTGGAATATATACTTTAGGGGATCCATCCTAGATATGAGGTAGGTAGTGTAGGCACAGAAGTAATGCCTTAATTTTTGGGTTGTCCAGGTCAAAGCACAGCAAGTGAGTTCAAGCAGCAAATACCGGCTTCATAATGTGTGAACTTCTTGCTCAAGTAATATATGGACTGCTCCTTTATTTCTGTATCATCATGTTGTCCCAAAACACATCTGAAGGCTCCATCTAACATAGATAGATAGAGTAGCAAAGGTTGTCCTGGTTCTGGCAGGACTAGAACTGGCGGTGTGGACAGGTATTCCTTGATCTTGTCAAAAGCGTTCTGACAATCCTCGGTCCAGCTTGTTTCAGCATCCTTTCTTAGCATCTTGAAGATGGGTTCACATATGACTGTGGACTGTGCTATGAAGCGACTAATATAGTTGAGACGTCTTAAGAAGCTCATCACATCCTTTTTGCTCTTAGGTGGTGGTAACTCCTGAATAGCTTTGACTTTGGACGAATCCAGTTCAATCCCTCGATGATTGACGATGAATCCCAGTAATTTTCCTGCAGGAACCCCGAATGCACACTTTGCCAATTTCAAATTGTACTTCCTTATCCTATCGAAGAACTTCCTCAAGTCTGCTATTTGATCTGCGACCCTCTTAGATTTGATAATAACGTCGTCCACATACACCTCTATTTCCTTGTGTATCATATCATGGAAGATTGTTTTCATGGCTCTCATGTAGATAGCCCCAACATTCTTCAAATCGAATGGTGTCATCTTGTAATAATATGCACCCCATGGTGTTATGAAAGTTGTCTCTCTGCATCTTCGTCATCCATCCAAATCTGGTGATAACCCGCGAAGCAATCTACAAAGGATTGGAGTTCATGCTTGGCGCAATTATCGATCAGGATGTGTATATTTGGCAGTGGGAAGTCGTCTTAGGGACTTGCTCTATTTAAATCCTGATAGTTAACACATACTCGGACCTTCCCGTCCTTCTTTAGAATTGGCACAATGTTAGCTAACCAGGTTGGGTACTCAACCACCCTAAGAACTTTGGCTTTGATTTGCTTGGTAACTTCCTCCTTGATTTTCAGGCTCATGTCAGGTTTGAACTTTCTGAGCTTTTGTTTTACCGGCGGACATATGGGATTAGTAGGCAACTTGTGAGCCACTATGGAAGTGCTCAAACCGGTCATGTCATCATATGATCATGCAAAAATGTCCTCATATTCTTTAGGAATCGAATGTACTTTTCCTTCTCTGTTGATGACAAGTAAATGCTGATATGGGTCTCCTCGACGGTCTCGGCGTCTCCCAAATTTACTGCTTGGTCTCGACCAGATTGGACTTAGGTTTATTCTCAATATTTTCAACCTCCCTGACAATTTTCTCGGGTATCTCATCTTTCTCCTCCGAGTCACTATTCTCATGTTGCATTACCTCATTACATGTCACAGTCACTGGTTTATCAGGAAAAGTAATAATAATGTTGTGGAAAGAAAAAGTGTAAAGGTAGTAGTAAATAATAAACACTACAACAAAAAGGGCCTTTAGCGGCAATAAAAAAGGCATTGGCGGCAATAACAATAGCCGCTATATCATTTACCGGCCATTGATGTTTAGTCGCTGAAATCAGGGTCGGTAAAGCCTTTAGCGGCATTTCTCACAAAAGCTGTTAAAAGGTCTGATTATTGCCGCTAAATATCATTTGCTTTAACGGCAATTGTTTGCGGCAATTATGATGGCTGCTAAATCCAGTCTAAAATGGACACTAATGCTCTTTTTATGTCCATTTTTATAGTCGCTAAATTAAAAAATATTATCGCTAAAGGTCCACACCTTTAGCAGTAATTGTTTTGTGGCAATTAGAATGGCTATAATATTCTTTCTTAAAACGTATTGGTATGCCCTTTTAGCATCCATTTTAATGGCTAGTAAATTCAATTAAATTGCCGCTAAAAGTCATCTTAAACAACAATTATAATGGCTACAATATCCCCTGTAGAAACACTACAATTAGCCCTTTTATCTTCTATTTTTATAACCAATATATCTTGTTAAATTGTAACTAAAAGTCGCAAGCTATAGCAACAATAGTTTAGCCACCATTAATAATAGCTACTACATTCATTCAAAAAATGATCCAAATAATAAAACATAATAATATCGATTCATAAATACATAATGTATTTCATTAAATCTTAAAAAATAAAAAGGAAGTACTAATCCAAAAGATTAAATCACAGTAACTTAAAAAAACTTATATTGTTAGAAGATAATAGCTAGTGTCATTATATAACTAATCTTAACAAATAATAGTCTTCAAATAATTTATGGAATGGTTCATCATATGGAGATCTTTCGCCCGCTAAATTATCGATCATCAGACTGTATGACCTGAAATTATATAATAACTATGTCAATAGGTGAAATATAATAGTCTTTAACTGGGATGTTTATCGAGCAAAAGTATTTAGTTCATATATCATGGCATACATGTTTGATTTAGAGGAAAATAAGTGCCTTAATAATAGATTTTATAAGTTAAATAGAACTCAGACTAGTTGGACTATCTGATTGGCTTTTACAAGTATATGATTGTAGTACAAGTATACAACAACTATTATTCCTCAATCCCATGCTAGTTGGAGCTTGATTTATAAATCACTCGCTATTCATTTGGACTCTTAATAGAAGCAAATTTGTATCAACATAGTGCATGTGTGATTCAAGCTTCTAGCTTCCTCTATTTCAACAAAATATCTTTATAAACTTCCAGCTTCCACTAGCACTGATCTCCTCTTGTCCCATATATAGATGAATTATCAAGTATTCAAATTTGACTATATCAAGTAAATCGGGAAAAAAATCCCTACAAACTATATAGGAGAAACAATCTTTAGTATATCCATAACAATAATACATTTTTTACAACTCAAAAACAAATAACAAAGAAGAGTAAGCCAAAACAATCTGATAATACCCGAGCATAGAAGAACATGAGACGGTTGGGCACAAGCTACGAGAAATCAATACATGTTGATTGCCTTTCATTGATGGTTTGGAATGTAACTTCATAAAAGCTATTTGATGGAAACTCAGATAATGCAAGATGCATACGGTTTGTACCTGGAATTGCAAACAAATAGACAACATAATCAACATTAGTAATGGAATACAATAATTTTGATGCTTTACAGATTTAAAAAATAGCTAAATAAAGATAAACAATACTTTAAAAGAGGAAGTGACCAGGCAACTCTAAGTTCAAGGAAACAAAACAAAAAAAAATGAGATGAGCTAGAGGAGATTAACAATTATTGCTTGGCAAGCAAATAAAAGCAGCTAGAATGAGAAGCATAGATACTACATGAAGCACATAAAAATCAGAAAACATTAAAACTAGCATGATTTCTTGCAGCTCCGCCACACAAAAAAAAGGTATGGGGAAGTGGCGGATTAGTGAAGAAGAGTTAAAATACCAGGAACATCTTACTCCACAATCCCCCTCTCCCCCCCTAAATAAATCAGCAAAGCAGACTTCTCAAGTCTTCATATGACTAAAGAACACTTCTAATCACTATGCCAACTATATGGGAAACAAGAGAATAACTGAAAAAAGAGAATCTCAAATTTAACTTCAGGCACTACTAACTCTGATAGACAAGTGAATACATCAACAGATAGGCAATCACCTGTAACCTAATTGGCTTCACTCTTAACAACACAAGGCGCACAAATAGAGATTGAGCAAGTCTAGCTTGTGTCGCTTTCTTGCACATAATGACTGGTCCAAGCTGGGCAGTGATCACCGGCAAAAATAACCTAGCACAAAACTCACAGTAAGATCCAATATCGTAATATACTTCAGTATGACATTTTTGCATAAATGAATGTCAACATGACATTAAATGCAATAGTGACCTGTTTTGTGCCAAGAACCAAAGGAATAAGACATTCAGGCTCAGTAACCTGAGTGGATTCATCATAAGCACCTACCAAGACGTTTAACACGACAGAAATATTAAAACAAGCAAGAATCCAGAATGAGTACATGAGAACAAAAATAAGAAACTGAAGATCTAAAATAGTTAGGAAATTCTCAAATCTTTAGTAATAAGGTAAACCAACCTAGCGGAATTTGAAATTAGCCAATCTAGGATCTCCAGTACCAACACATGTGTAGCAAATTACATCAACACTCTGAGCTATTTCCCTCTTTATTTCCCACTTCAAAGCTTTATATTTCTTCTTATAACTCCTGGAGAGCTCTCCCGAAAGTTCATAAATCAAATGACTCTGAATCATGTGCACACATTTAAAATGCTCTAATAAAGGATATATAATGAGAATGAGAAAAAAACCTGAGCACTATGCTAAAAGTATAACCATGTAAATGCTAGATCCCCCCAATACATATGAGGCCAAAGAAAATCTAGGAAAGCAACACAAACCTTGTTCATCCTTCAACTTGTGCAGTTCACTCTTCTCACATGTGTCAATATAGTGAACCTGTATAAAGAAAAGTTTACAAGATATCATTAAAAATAGAACGAGATATAAAAAATTTGAGGATAAGAAATTAAAAAACTAACCTGGTATTGAAGGGTTAAATGCTTGACAAGAGAATTAATAGCTTCCCTTTACTTCGCACAGAGCCTAACCACCTGGNTTACAAGATATCATTAAAAATAGAACGAGATATAAAAATTTGAGGATAAAAAATTAAAAAACTAACCTGGTATTAAAGGGTTAAATGCTCGACAAGAGAACTGACAGCTTCCCTTGACTTGGCACAAAGCCAGACCACCTGGAAAAAAAGAAAATTATATGAGGAAGGACATAAAATTATCACAAATTAAAGAAAAAGAGGAAGCTAGAAGTTTAGACATTAAAAGAAGCATCTTAATTAACTGAAAGATACTTTATATTGGAAATTTGTATCAATATAGTGTAATTACCTAAAATAATAACCCGACTAGGCACATATTTTCTTGTTCTTTTCGAACTTTCAGTCGTTCATAGTCATAAGCATCCTGGACTTTTAAAAATTTGCTTACAAGCTCCCCAGATGTTGTAATAGCTAGCACAAGGTTATGATGAAAGCATAAACCATATATTCCTTCACATGTTTTAAACTATTAACTTGTAAACCAATAATTCCTTCACTTAATAAACTACCAATCCCTTCTAACTTTGATGTACAATAAAGGATGCTAGACTATTGTTCATGCATTTAAAATCAAGAGAAAGTGTCCATCATGTCTATAGGTGAAAAATATTAGAGCAAACAACTATTGTTAGAAGGAACACTTCCCCATGATGGTTTAGAAGAATGAATTATATGAAACTATTTCACAAATAAAAGATTGAGTTTTATAGTTATCTGTTTTCTATTCCATAACAAATTAAGCATAAGTTAAAAAGGAAAAGAGCATTATGTTAACATATTTAACGCAAGTGCAACATCATGAGGTTGGGGTATTTTCATCAATACTTTGTAACTGAAATGTAATCCATGGTACTTGTGGTGCTTGTTTATGGATGTTATTGGCATAAGAGACTTAATATATATAGAACATGCTAAATAAAAGACCATATAAGATCTTTATGGAACTGAGTAGAGTTACATTTCATACTTATATGGTATATGCTTATGTGTCTAAAGATATTGTACTTCTTAGTAAGATCACAGTCCATGATGTATACATACTGTAGCAAAATAAAATACCCAAAACTAGTTTAAAACTGTAAGTTTATGCCATAAGAAATATTTTTCCATCATATTTATAAACCTCATTCTTTAAATAGATTCGAAATGGTATAAACCACAAAGACAGAAAGCCGCAGGTACATTATAATAAGATTTTCATATCATTTGCATGTTCATTAAGGTCCAACAATCAATCTAATCCAATTTTCAGAATATATGCACATAAAGTGTATCATCGTGTAAAAAAAATAAAATTGATTTTTGCCATTAAAGTACAACCATCAATCCAATAATCAGCTTGAATATGGTAGAATGTAAGTAGAGTGATTTGCTCTTGACTCCATCAAGAAAAAGATAATTGTATCTCACAAAGCCAAGCAAAAACAAAGAGAAATCTAAACCACAACATTGTCTACTTACCTATCATAACCATGGTACTTTCATGCTAAATATTTATTTAAAATATTATTGGTTTTAGAAAGAAAATAATTATTCTGATATTTCTCAAGCAATTCATAGTTATTGAGAAGATCAGATGGAGGCAGGGTACCAACCTACTATATTAAGGTCACATGTGATTCATGCTTACCACATAAGCTTGATGCCAGCTATCAGCTAGTATGTTACTCATTAATTGAAAAGGCTTCTAAAATAATTGAGAGATAATATTTTATTTTAACTTATCTGAAGACTAAGTATTAAAACTATGTCACCATGTTATTACATAGACATGAATTACCACAACTCATATCAGCTATATGAAAATCAGGATGCTCATTTTATTAATAATGAAAAAGAGTGAAAATCTTTAGCATATAAATATCATGTAGATTTCTTTTGGATGGAACAAGAAATAAATTTATCTGCTTTCCAAACTTTAGTTTTCCTTTTCCAACTTATCAAAACTAAATATATCTTCCAAGTCATTTTAAACACTTGAAAAGCTAAGGTCCAATATTTCTCTATACAAAATCTTGTAAAGTGCCATATTGAATAAGTAAATTATTAGTCTTCCACTGCTTGACAATAGCAAAAGATTAATACATTTACTTGAAAGGATAGTTAGAATTGTTTGGAGAGAACAAGTAAATTACCATTTTATTTTCATATATTCTTCATAATAATAGTGTAATTACTACTAAAAAATATTTAAGAATCTAATTCTATTGATAGGGCATATGATACAAAATTAAGCCAAAATGATGAGTGGTAAGTAATTTACTAGTATAGTTATTGCAAAGGAAGAAAATGTAATCCACACATCTATTCTTAATTTTTTAGTTTACATTCCAATTTATCAAGGGTTTCTAATTCGTGAACCCTAGAATATGCATAAATACCAAATTTGCAGTAGTAACCCAACCTCATCACCGCCTCCATCCCCCCTCCCCTCCCCATGCTAAGATTTTTTGAATTTTTTAGTTTACATTCCAATTTATCAAGGGTTTCTAATTCGTGAACCCTAGAACATGCATAAATACTAAATCTGCAGTAGTAACCCAACCTCATCACCACCTTCATCCCCCCCCCCCCCC